TTGTCCCAGTGAATGAACACATCTCATTAGTGGAGAGTGTTGATAGGGGAATTAATGACACTGACCTCGTTGGTGGGGGCAGCAGCTAGTGACGAGTTGATGATTGTTAATGAGGAAGGCACTGTTTCTTCTTCAGCTTTAGCTGTGTTTGAAGCAACTCCGGTTTGGCTGTTGCCGCGTCCGTTACTGACCGGAGAGTCTCGAGACTCGGCTGTGATCAACGCCTCTTCCCTCCTCTGCTTGTACTCCTGGTGTTTCCTCGAGAATTCCGTTTCGTCTTTGCTGAGGGACTCGGTGAGGACTGAATCGCTGTCGGTTATTCGGGGTGGATCCTGATCCCGGTAGGCACGACGCTGGCTCTTCGATATCTCACACATTTCCTTTGTTTTGCTCAGACCCGCGACGCGGGGAGAGGATTCGCTCGATTATGGATCCGCCAGGCTGAATCTGTTGTTTTATTTTTTTTATGGGCGATTACTGCTCTAGTGCAGCGACCTTTCGGCGCCTCTGCGTTAGATTTCGAATGGAAAGTCGTTTTTTCTAGGGGAAAACTAAAAGGAAGACTATTTTTGCGATTTTTTATTGCATGCGCATTTTATTTTTTTAAGAACGTTAATATTACGATTTTTTTCGATTTTAGTTTTTTTTTGAAGAGGAAACTTTGGCAGAAATATTTTTAAGATGTTTTAACAGCTGAATTATTTTTTATCGGATTTGCTTTTGATTTTTTTGTGGAGATGCACGTCACCATTTTTTGAATGATTTTGTTTTTTTTTCGAGCGCAGAACTAAGGAGAAACACAATTTTTTGCAGAGAGAATTTTATGGGAACAATAGTTTTAATATTTTTTAACGGTTTTGTCCAATTTAGTTAATGCGATTTGCATTCTTTTTGTAAAGATACAAACATCAACATTTTTTTCCCGAGTTTTGTTTCTTTTTGAGAACTAAAAAGTCCATTTTGTTCCGCAATTTTTTAGGCTGATTTTTTTAGAAGAGAATTTATGTAAAAAAATATATGAAAAAATTGAGATTCTATTCAATTTTCATTTGTAACTGAAATTTGTTGTTCTATCAACAAATAAATAAAAACTACAATTTTCCAAAGAGATGAACAAAACATCCCGACAATTCCGTATTCCTTTTGTTTTTTTTTCGAGCGCAGAACTAAGGAGAAACACAATTTTTTGCAGAGAAAGTTTTGGGGGAACAATATTTTAAATATTTTTTAACGGTTTTGTCCAATTTAGTTAATGCGATTTGCATTCTTTTTGTAAAGATACAAGCATCAATATTTTTTTCCCGATTTTCGTTTCTTTTTGAGAACCAAAAAGTCCATTTTGTTCCGCAATTTTTTAGGCTGATTTTTTTAGAAGAGAATTTATGTAAAAAAATATATGAAAAAAATAGAGATACTGTTCAATTCTCATCTGTAACTGAAATTTGTTCTATCAACAAATAAATAAAAATTACAATTTTTCAAAGAAATGAACAAAACATCCCGACAATTCCGTATTCCTTCCGTAATATTTTTCCCATTAATCCCAAAATTCATGAATAGACCAGGAATTTTTACATTACGATTCCCAGAATTAATGAGATAACTCCACGTGCAGACGACACAAATGAAAAAAGAATTAACGGAACTCGAGTTGAGGCGTGAGTTGAAAAAATGAGGAATGCGAATAGAGTCCACACCCGATTTGGGATAACTCACGAGATGAAGAGGGATGAGATGAGATTATTCCTGCAGATTTAGAATTTTTTCAATGAAGGCGGTGTTGTTATTGTTGATGGTTGGTTCAGAGGCACGCCGCGGTTAATGAAGGTTGATTGATGCAGGTATGAGCCATGCTGTCAGTGCACAGAGAGGGACACTGCGTACTGTCGTACATATCGTGAATATGCGTCATCGGGGGGACATCTGTCCGCCCCACTACCATTGGCCCTTTTTCGACTCTGCGCCCTGCGTCGGGGGAAAAATGAGACTAACCCTTCGGCGAGGGGTGAACTACCCCTCCCCCTCCCACCCCCTCTCGCCGCTTGAAAACCATCCCCTGCGCCATCATGAGAATAGTCGTATTGACACGCATGCGATGAAGAATTCAGTAGAATTTTCATTTTTAGTTGTTTTTTTTTATTTCCAACGATTGCATTAATTTTATTTTTCATTGATGAAACCATTTTTTTATTGATAAAATGCTGGTGGCGATGGCATCTGTTCGCACTGTTGTCTGGCAAAATCTGTCTGTTTTTTGTATTTTGTTTGTGTAAAACTGTAGAAGGTGAAAAGCCTAGTTGGAAATAAAAAATCTTGAATCTTGATAAAATGCTTTTGGGGGGTGTAATAATCCAACTGAGTTTGGCATCGTTTTTTTAATGAAAAAATTAATTGGGAATTAGTGGGAGAATGAATAGTTTTCGATATCTTCCCTTTAAGTTTTTTATTCTTTCTTATTAATAGGGGAGGTTCGGGTAAAATGGACACTTTTGACTTTTTTAAAAATGTTAATGACAGGTTGAAATGGTGATGAAATTTAACTTTTTTTTTCAATTCAAAGAGCAATTATCGCCCTCTGTGATGAGCTTAAACTGAGCTCCATTGATAAATTTGTTTCTGAGTTATGAGTAATTCAAAAAAAGTCCAAAGTGTCCATTTTACCCCACCCTCGCCTAAATTTTTTCTTTAAATTGAGTCTATGAATTTTTGCGGGCCGAATCTGAAAAGAGTAGGACGTCTAGAAAAATAGAAATCCATTGATTTTTCAATCGATAATATATTCTCTATTACGCATTTCCATTTGAAACACGAGAATTAATGACGAAAGTGGAATTCGAAATTAATTTCCAGTAGAATTTTCTAGCGAATTCGCTGGGTTTTCTATTGAATTTTTTCATACGTGAATGCGCTAGCTTTTCCTGTTGAACTGCTCTCCTACTTGAATTTTTCAATTGCAATATCAAAAAATGAATGAAATTCTTCAATCAATCGGCTAATTACGAAAATTGAATTTCCATTTTTCATGAAGTTATTGATTTTGTTGTGTCGATAGCGAATAAAAAAGTGATATCGAATTTATTACCCACTTGAGGAATTTTGCGTGGGGTTTTTAAATTGAGAAGTAGTTAAAAGTCGCGCCGTAAGCCGGCGCCACTGTTCAGTCATCATCTTCCCGTCTTCATATGCAGAGAAAACAGTCAGATTGGAGTGTTTTATTTTGTTGACGTTCTGCACTAGCAATGAAGCCCAGAATCATGTTTTCCACTGCTTCCCGATGACCACAAATATTACTGGAAAAATCAGGAACTCATTAAATCAGAATCAGCCTTGAATACAACTTCTCGAAACCAAGATTTCCGCTTGACGGATGGGTTAACCTAGCAGTTGCATTGCTCCAAAGAAAGGTAAATAAAATTTCCAACTTCATCATCTTCATCAATATATGAAGAATCAACTTCAATTCAACTCCATTTTCATAAATGAAGTTGAATAAAATTAAATCAAATTATGTTTAATTCGAATAAGAAAAAATTGCGATTTTTTAACTTCATAATTGTTAACTATTTCAATTTTTAGTAAAACATTACAACATCAGCATTAAATTCCTCATGTGTTTATTATTTTCACTATCTTATGATTTCTGCACGCCAAATGTAAAGGCTAAAGCCTCACCCTCTCAAAAAATTGAATAACGATTGAAATAAATGACTAAAAATACAAACATTTACCAAATAAAAGCAAGAAAATGCATAAAAACATTTCGTTTTAATTTCAGCCCTCAAAAAATCCTCAAAATGCCAGACACAATGGAAGACGACATGGGGATGTCAGTTCGGCTGACGAACGACGACTTCCGCAAGCTCCTGATGACTCCGAGGGCCTCAGTCCCCTCATCGACCCCAGCCTCCTCGATCCCAGGAACAGCGAGGGATGCAGCAGCAAAAACCGCCCAGACCCCGTCAGTGAGTGGCCCAGACAGAGCTGAGGCTCGACGAAAGAAGAAGAGCTACTACGCCAAACTCAAGAAGCAGGAGGAGGACAAGATGGCAGAGCTCGCAGAGAAGTACAGAGATCGTGCCCGAGAGCGAAGGGACGGCAACAATGGAGATTACCAGGCTGAAGACCCCATGAACAATGCTAACGCCTACAGGGCTGTTGCTCCTGATTTAAAGTCTGGGATGGACGCCGCCGAGAGGAGGAGACAGATGATCCAGCAGTCCAAGTTCTTGGGAGGTGACATGGAGCACACTCACTTGGTCAAGGGCCTCGATTATGCTTTGTTGCAGAAGGTAAAGGAGAGAGAAAATTATTTATTATGGCTTCCGGATAGAGAGAAAATTATTTATCCTTTTTTGTTGATTATCTCTGAAATTAAAGTGAATTTTGAGGGAAATTACAGCAAAAAGAATAAAATAATTATTTTTATCTGCAAAAAATATTGAGATTTTTCAATTTTTGGATTTAAAAAAATTGATGATTTTTTTATGATGATTCGTAATTATTTAGTGATTTTTGTAATAACGAGTTGAGTTGCCTCATGAGGGCGAGGGGCGCGATTATGCTTTGTTGCAGAAGGTAAAGGGGAGAGAAAATTATTTATTATGGCTTCCGGATAGAGAGAAAATTATTTATCCTTTTTTGTTGATTATCTCTGAAATTAAAGTGAATTTTGAGGGAAATTACAGCAAAAAGAATAAAATAATTATTTTTATCTGCAAAAAATATTGAGATTTTTCAATTTTTGGATTTAAAAAAATTGATGATTTTTTTATGATGATTCGTAATTATTTAGTGATTTTTGTAATAACGAGTTGAGTTGCCTCATGAGGGCGAAGGGCGCGATTATGCTTTGCTGCAGAAGGTGGAGGGGAGAGAAAATTATTTATCCTTTTTTGTTGATTATCTCTGAAATTAAAGTGAATTTTGAGGGAAATTACAGCAAAAAGAATAAAATAATAATTTTTATCTGCAAAAAATATTGAGATTTTTCAATTTTTGGATTTAAAAAAATTGATGATTTTTTTATGATGATTCGTAATTATTTAGTGATTTTTGTAATAACGAGTTGAGTTGCCTCATGAGGGCGAAGGGCGCGATTATGCTTTGCTGCAGAAGGTGGAGGGGAGAGAAAATTATTTATCCTTTTTTTATTGATTATGTCTTATCTCAAATTGAAGTGAATTTTGAGGGAAAGTAAAGCAAAAAGAATAAAATAATAATTTTTCATCTACAAAAAATATCGAGATCTCTGAATTTTAGGAGTAAAAACAATTGATGATTATTTTTTATGATGATTAGTAGTTATTGAGTGATTTTTGTAACAACGAGTTGAGTTGCTTCATGAAGACTAGAATAACTTCCATCTATTCCTCTCGATTTTTAACTTTCATGGATTTGCTTGAGGCTTTACTCGATTTAACTAGATTATTTTTGTATTATTATTCAGTGGAACAACCAAGAAACTAGTTTATTCCGGAAAACACTGTGATATCTCATGACCTATCACATGGGGGCACTGGGTGACGAATTGTGACATTAAACTACGAGAATGCACTTTTATCTTCCCACGTTATTTTCAAAGTTTAACTAAAAAGACTAAAAAATAAAAATAGAAAATGCAAACTCATCTAAAAATGCAGCAATTAAACCCCAATAATTATTCTTGATATTTCGTTATTATTTTGTGACCCTTGTAGTTGAGCTGCTTCATCCAGACTAATTAAAATAATTCAGTAGCGAAGCGGTAAAACTGTTCAAGTCGATTTTGCCAGTCGAAATCTCAGGGAGATATAAAAATTCTTATTACAACATTTTTTGCAGAGCCAATTGAGCTCAAAGGCCATTATAAAAATAATGACTTTTTAGCTCGAAAACTCAGCCAATACCCAAGTCCACTTCAATCCTTCCCCCTTCGCCGCTGAATTTTAATCTATTACTAATGTTCATTGGATACAACATTATTTTGTATCATTATCAAATGGCACAAGTGACGAACCAGTTTCTTCCGGAAAATCCTCCGATATCTCATGACCCATAAGACGAGTGCAAAAGGTGACGAAATGTGGCATTCCCAAACCACAAAAATGCATCAGCTCTTTCCCATTATTTTCAAAATTCTAAAATCCGCAAAAGAGAATTAACTAAGTGGGAAATGGCTTTCGTCACAGTGCAGTCAATTTTATTTTTCTTTCGAATGAAATCAATCTCACGATCGAATGGATCAAAATGGCATTCTAGAACATTATTCAATCACAATTGTATTCACTAAAACTATTATTTCCCAGCATATAGCATATTTAAACTCCTGATGCCAAAATCAGTTATCCTGCCGGAAAAATACGAAATTTCTGATTTAAAAACCACAAAAGTTATTCTTCCATTCATCCCTCAAACACTTTAATAGCAAACGTCACCCATTCTCGCGCATTCTCACCCGACCTTGCAACCCCCCAGGTTCGCAGTGAGATAGAAGCCAAAGAGACAGAGCAAGAGCAGGAAATGGAGAAGCTGGCGAAGCCAAAAGACCCAAAGCCGAAAGAGGAGAAGAAGCCGGAGAAGAAGCCCGAGGAGACCCAATTCAAGACGAAGATCGGTCGCAACATTCACAAAACAATAATGATAATGAAGTCTAAGACAGTGGAGCGAAACGAGCTGTTCACGCCAGGGCGAATGGCCTACGTGATAGAGTTGGACGACGAGAACGCCGAGGTGGACATCCCCACGACGCTAATCCGGAGTAAAGCGGACGTTCCAACGGTGGACACGACGCCCACGCTGACGACCAACGACATAGTGATCAACAAGCTGGCGCAGATCCTCTCGTACCTCCGCCAGGGCAGCAGGCATGGCAAGAAGGGGAAGAAGAACAAGGACGGAAGGTCGAGACCTGACGAGGGGGAGCTGGAGGTGGGGCCGAGGGCACCAGCTGACGACAGCATCTACGGGAACATCGGGGAGTACGTCCCCAACGTCTCCAAGAAGGAGTCCGCAGGCGCCTCCAGACGGGAGAAGAAGACTTCCTACTTCAATAAGCCAGAACCGAGTGCTGGGGACGACAAAGCCAATGCCCCCCAGCTCCCGGCGATCCTGACGGCTGTTATGGAGGCGGCTGGCACCTCCGGCCCGAAGAAGGGCGCTCTGCTGAATAAATTGGCTGCTGAGCCCGAGGGCTACGCCGAGTGCTACCCAGGCCTCGATGAAATGCAGGACGCCATCGACGACTCCGACGACGAGGTCGACTACACGAAGATGGATCTGGGGAACAAGAAGGGACCCATCGGGCGCTGGGACTTTGACACCCCTGAGGAGTACAGCGAGTACATGAATAATAAGGAGGCACTGCCCAAGGCCGCTTTTCAGTATGGCGTCAAAATGGCTGATGGCAGGAGGACTAGGAAGTATAATAAGGAGAAGAATGAGAAGGCCGAACTCGATAGGGAGTGGCAGAAGATACAGAATATTATGAATAAGAGGAAGCCGTCTGGCGGCGGGGAGGGGGCACCGGAATTCAAGGTGCCGAGGTATTAGGTGAGTGGACGTGGGGAAAGGGGATAGGGGGTTTTCTGGGAGAACTCTTGCGCGGGAGTTTGCCGAGTTTTTTAGTCTTGTTATTCGGGAATTTTGTAATGAGAAATAGGAAAATGGGGAATTTGAGCTCGAGAATTTTTGGAGGTGGAAAAGATTTCAGGAGAATAATTGAGGTGAAAATTTAAAACTATTGGCAGACTCGAGGTTTTTCTGTTGGATTTTTCCACGCGGGGGGGATAATGTAAAATAGAGAATAAAGAGTAGTTGACAATTGAATTCATTGGTGATTTTTTTCATGTCTCATTGAATGTTGAATTGATGATGAGGGATTTTGGGAGAAAATGAATTTAAGTGAATCGCCTCGATGTGTTTCTTTCAGTACTGCAGTGAGTGATTTTTTTCATGATGTACAAATACATTGTTAACTTGTCGAGATAAATCTTTTATTGAAACTCATCTATGTAACAGTTTTACATAAGGTAAATCCTATAATCTATGTACACATAACGAATAATCATCGACTTTCGTTGTTAAATCTTTTCATTTATTTATTCACTGGTTTTTCCTTTTGGTTTGATCAATCAAAATCAATTAAAATACAACAATTATGCCCTGATAATTATTTTTGATGATTCGTAATTATTTTGTAATCCTTATAACAACGAGTTAAGTTACTTCATGAAGACTAAAATAATTTTGATCTATTATTTTCGGTTTTGAATTTTTCATGGGTTTGTTTACATCTTTATTCGATATAGCTAGAATATTTTTGTTTCATTATTAAGCGGCACAAGTGAGGAACTAGTTTCTTATGGAAAATACTTTAATATCTCGTGAGCTATTAGATCGGGACAATAGGCGACGAATTGTGACGTTAACAAACTACGAAAATGCACTTTTACTTTCTCACATTATTTTCAAAGTTTAAAAGTATCATAATCTCATTGAAATAATCCCATTCGACGTTTAGAATAGTTTCTTTGAACAGTCGTAATTCATTTGAGTCAACAAAAGCAAAATGAGAAATAGTTTTATCCACTAATTGAAGATCACTCGAGTGAACAATTGTTTTTTAAACTTTGAAATAATTATTTTTAGCCCCTGGGGGACTAAAAAAATCTATAACGAAGCATTAATTACCAACTCTAATCCACTTTTGGCACCGTTAATGTGTAATAATGAAGATCAACGTGTTCTTTCAAACTACGGTAAAGAGAAAAGCAGTTGTTTATTTAATTGTTAGTGTCAATGAGTCACGGAAAACTGAATCCCTTTCTTGTTAAGTGGTAGAATAGGATGAATCATCAACTTTGGAATTCGTTTTTGGTAAAAATCTGTGAATACTCTCTAAAAATTCCATAGAAAGTTGAAAATTACCTCTGAATCCAATAAGTCTAGTAAAAAATGAACAAATTCTGTCATTTTTATTGAAGTCATTGCATTTTTTACTAGAACTCTGGCAATAATTCAGAGGTAATTTTCAACCGATTTTTCTCCTCGTCACGTATGAAAAAAATTCAATGGGGAATTTACAAGGAGTTCCTCTGAAATTCTACTGAATAATTCTATTGAAGATTATGCAACTTCATCGTGTAATTTTTCTGAGAGATATTTAATAGAGAAAAAGTCAATAAAATTTCATGCCTCAAAAATTCAAGAAAAAAAAATTATACCCAAAAAACTTTACGGAGTAATCAACATTCAAGACTTTTTCTTAGAAAAAACAATTCTTTTTGAAGATTGAAAAGACGTATATGAAATAAAAAAATTAAAGTACTCGAGATAAAAAAAAATTGTAAAAAATCACGAAAAACAATTGGAATTTTTCAGTAAAATTCCAGTAAAACTGCAGTGAAATTTTGTTTTCCCATTAAATTTCGTCATACGCGTTACATTCATAAGATTGTTAATTAATCCTCTCCCACCACTTGCCCACCACCACCTCCTCATTAATCTCAACAAGCTTTATAACTCGAAAACGTATAAACGTTCACATATACCGTGATGTGCCGTGTATTTTGATTCGGGTAAATGGCTGAGGCAATTCCACATATCACGTGTTCGGGGATTACCGCAGGGTCTCTATAATTTCTTAAAATTGCATTAAGTTGTCCCTCGGACGTGTCTCATCACACCGAGCCCGGCAGGATGATGCTTGTGCTGCCCATACCGATGACAATGAGCATGATCAGCATGAAGTAGAGTGAGTTGGCGCGCTCACCGGCGGACCCCATCGTCTGGGGCTGCCCATCGGCGGTGAAATTCCGACCGTAAATGGCGAATGTCATGAGGTCGTTCCTCGGCTTCACCAGATTGTACTTCATGGTCGTGTGGGTCTTGTTGAGGATCTTCATGGTGAAGGAGAAGTCGGTGGCGTTCAGGGGCTGGAGCTCGTGGTTCATGTTCAGGGGGAGGTAGAGGTTGTTGGCCACTGTCGTGAAATCACCGGAGATCTTCAGGGAGTTGAAGGTCGTGGGGTTGACGACTATGCCGTTGGTGTCGAAGCGGTTGGCGCAGGTCTTCACGTCGTCGTTGGTGCAGGAGATCAAGCCGCAGAGCTCTATCCCACCCGTCGCTTTGCCGGAGAATGAACGGATGCCGTTGAAAACAGCAAAACGATATCTGGAATTCATTTATTCTTCTGGTGATCGAGGGGTTTCATCGGTTAACAAAAATTCAGATAAATTATAACGATTAATTTGCAGCAATTCATTGCTGATATCCAGAGAGAACTTTGCGTCGTGGATTCTCAGTCAAAAGGGGATGGAAAAATCTGAAGGATGGCTTAAAAAATTTGTTCCACTTATAGAAACTGAATGACGTGAGTTGAGGGTGATTTGAAGAGGAGGAATAATTTTAAGAAGTGTTTGAAAATGCGAGGTGGGGCGCCGCCATGTTTGAAGCCTCTGCGGCGGAGGGAGGGGGTGTCCAAACAAGATGGCGAGGTGCGCACCTGTCGACCACCTCGCATTTTTGAACATTTCTTGTAATTATTTATGCTCTTTAAATCTCTTTCGACTCGTTTCACCCAGTTCCTAGAGAAAGAATAAATTTCTGAAGCCATTCTTCAGATTTTTTCATCCTCTTTCGGCAGACAATTGAACGGATGCCGTTGAAAACAGCAAAACGATATCTGGAATTCATTTATTCTTCTGGTGATCGAGGGGTTTCTTCGGTTAACAAAAATTCAGATAAATTATAACGATTAATTTGCAGCAATTCATTGCTGATATCCAGAGAGAACTTTGCGTCGTGGATTCTCAGTCAAAAGGGGATGGAAAAATCTGAAGGATGGCTTAAAAAATTTGTTCCACTTATAGAAACTGAATGACGTGAGTTGAGGGTGATTTGAAGAGGAGGAATAATTTTAAGAAGTGTTTGAAAATGCGAGGTGGGGCGCCGCCATGTTTGAAGCCTCTGCGGCGGAGGGAGGGGGTGTCCAAACAAGATGGCGAGGTGCGCACCTGTTGACCACCTCGCATTTTTGAACATTTCTTGTAATTATTTATGCTCTTTAAATCTCTTTCGACTCGTTTCACCCAGTTCCTAGAGAAAGAATAAATTTCTGAAGCCATTCTTCAGATTTTTTCATCCTCTTTCGGCAGACAATTGAACGGATGCCGTTGAAAACAGCAAAACGATATCTGGAATTCATTTATTCTTCTGGTGATCGAGGGGTTTCTTCGGTTAACAAAAATTCAGATAAATTATAACGATTAATTTGCAGCAATTCATTGCTGATATCCAGAGAGAACTTTGCGTCGTGGATTCTCAGTCAAAAGGGGATGGAAAAATCTGAAGGATGGCTTAAAAAATTTGTTCCACTTATAGAAACTGAATGACGTGAGTTGAGGGTGATTTGAAGAGGAGGAATAATTTTAAGAAGTGTTTGAAAATGCGAGGTGGGGCGCCGCCATGTTTGAAGCTTCTGTGGCGGAGGGAGGGGGTGTCCAAACAAGATGGCGAGGTGCGCACCTGTCGACCACCTCGTATTTTTGAACATTTCTTATAATTATTCATTCTCTTCAGATCTCTTTCAACTCGTTTCACCCAGTTCCTAGAGAAAGAACAAATTTCTGAAGCCATTCTTCAGATTTTTTCATCCTCTTTGGGCATAGAATTCCGAGCGCAAAGTTTCTCCCGCATTTCAGTATTTTTTTTTATTCCCGGCGCATCTCTCTTGAGTTTAATTATCAACGAATAATAATAATATAATAATAATAATGACACAATTAATAATTAGAGAATAGAAATGAAAATTAAATTAATTTAATCAATTTAATAATTAAATTAGTAATTTAAGAACAAAAATCGAAATTAAATTAAACGAATGAATTAATTAATTAAATTAACAAATGTCCAGATAAAATGCTCACCTGTAATACCTAACATTCGCCTCCTTAATAAGCTCCCCATTATGACTAGAATCGACAATAAATTGACAGCACAATCCCCGATCGCAAACGGTAGCATTAGAGGTTCCATTAACAGGTACAAACATCTTAGTGGTATAAGGCAGGACATAATCACTGAGTAGTTTCTGCTCTCGGGCAGGATCACTAGCATTGACAGTGGGTATCACACTATCGGGTGGATAAAAAATGCTCCCCGTGGGGTTCAAATTGCCCCGAATACCATCGACGACCTTAGGTATCTGCGAGATGATGATGGCATTCGTGCGCTTCTCAGACCAGACTCGCTTGAGAACTCCGCCCTTCCCCGCGTAAATGCCACTTCCGCCACTTCCGGTCGCCGGATTGTTGTACCCGGCGGCCAGAAAATTCACGTCATTCATCCAGGACCAGGCGGACTGCACCTGATTTTTTTAAGCAGGGTTTCGGTAATTAAAAAACAGTTGTTATTTACAATATTTACATAAGTTAAAAATTAGTATGAATATTTTTTTTATTAACATAAATTATTAATTTATAACATAAATTATAAATTATTTATTCATGTTACATAAATTATTAATTTATGTTGATTTTAAATATTAATTTAATTTTCAATATTAATTTTATACGGCTTATAAAATTGCCAGGTTTTGATGTTTTTATTTATTTATTTGAGAATTTTAAATCAAGGAGTTTCTCTATCTCTGCTTCTCCTTGAGATTAAGGATATGCAAGTACTTTTGCTATTTTTTCTCCAGTGAAATGCTTTTCTAGTTTTATAGTCGACCATCAGACCCTTCATTTGAGCTCCGTTTGACCCTAAGGCTTCGGACATTTTACAATGATTTTTATTATTTATTTAAACTTTGCAGGTATGAATTTGAATTATGATACTGAACCGTTGAAAAACATTTTAAAAATCTGAAAAAAATGAAAAAGTTGATTTTTGGAAGAAGATTGATGAAATAATTTATAAACAATCAATTTTTCATCATAAAAATCATTTTGTCGGAATTATAACAAATTCATTCATATTGAACCGGATATTGAACCGTTAGAAAACATTTTAAAACTCCGAAAAAAATTAGAAAGTTTATTTTTTCAGGCAGATTGACGAAATAATTTATAAACAATTAATTTTTCATCATAAAAATAATTTTTTCGGGAACATAAGAAACTTATTCATATTGAGCCGGCAATTGGACCGTTAGAAAACATTTTAAAAATATGAAAAAATTTAAGAAGTATATTTTTGGAGGAAAAATTATGAAATAATTCATCAACAATCAATTTTTCACCGTAAAAATCACTTGTTCGGAACTGTAACAAATTTATTCATATTAAACCCAATATTGAACCGTTAGAAAACATTTTAAAAATAAAAAAAAATTAGAAATTGAATTTTTTCAGGCAGATTGACGAAATAATTTGTAAAGAATGAATTTTTCATCATAAAAATCATTTGTTCGGAATCGCAGCAAATTCATTCACATTCATAATTTTACCAAAAATCGATTTCACGCCTGAAAAAATAAGGTTTCTGAAAGTTCAAATAATTTCCACTATTTCCTCATAAACGACGAATGTTTAAAAAAATCATAACTCTGTTCAAAACATAATTCAGTTGACAAATTTGATGATTGAAAATGGTTGACTCTACAGTCTAGTCTGTATCAAACCGTAAAATATGCTTGGATATCCTTCAGCCCAAAACTTGAAATGAAAAAATCAATAAAAACAATATTCCATTTCCCTATCATTACCAATTCCTTATTTCTTGCTTAAGGATGTTCGACACCCTTTTAGCCAAAATTGACGTTGTTTTCATTTTTCTGGCAAATTATCGATGGGAGTGACGTGAAAAAATATAACGATTTTGTGGTTTGTCATTCTTTAATGGCTCACGAAGTTGCGTAGTGGTGCGATAATTTTCATGCGTTTTTTCTACAGTTTTGTGATTCTTTTTAAAAGTTTAGAGAAAACGCAGGAAAATGTTCGCACCACCTTAAAATTTCGTCAGTCATTAAATAATGACAAAACGCAAAAACGTTATATTTTTTCACGTCAATTCCATCATAGGGGAGGGTGGGGCAAAACGGCCCCCCTTCAATTGTCAATAACTTGTGAATGACATCGTGAAAATTCCCAGTTCCAACTCCATTTTAAAGATAATTTTTCATTCTTCAAAACGAGCTCTAACTCATCCCAATCGGATTATTGAATCGGAAAATATTGACGATTGAAGGGGGGCCGTTTTGCCCCATCCTCCCCTAAGTTTGCCAGAAAAATTAAAAAAACGTGAATTTTGGCAGAAAGGGTGTAGAACATCCTTAAATTTCGTTTTCGACGAATGTAAAGTTTCACAGTCTGTATTCACATTCGTTGAAAGCGAAGTTTATGCCCGAGTGGTCTATCCTATTTTATGCCACATCGTGTTTTTATTGCACGGCGTGCCATAAAAAAATATCCGCGTTTGGCATTAACGTAAAAACTGCCCAGCATTATTCGCGAAAGTAGTGAGAATTGAATTTCTTAGCGAACTGCACCTGATTAGCGGTGAGGAAGGGCAGTTCGGAGAACCAGTGCGTGGAGAAGAGAACGTCGCGGACCTTCCGCTCCCTCACCAGGCGAAGGGCCGGTGTCTCGAACAGAATGTCGAAGCAGATGAACTGTCCGAATGTCACATCGAAGTCTGTCTTGAACGTCGACAGCTCCGGTTTAGCCGTTTTGTTCAAGCCCTCTTCGCCGAACAAATTGTACTTTCTGTATCTGGCGACGACAGCACCGGAACGATCGAACACGACATTAGTGTTATAAAGATTGTGGCCGTCCTTGGAGCACCGCTCACCCGTGCATTGCTCCTTCTCCCTTATGTTCACGGCTATGTACATTTTGAAACGATTTGCTGCGCACGATATGGCCTTCAGGCACTGGTGAATAATTATTTAAAAAATGGTAATTATCGGTATTGATTGTGCTCGGGGGAAGAATTATTGGGGATGTCGGCTGGAAAGACTGGGGATTGAGGATGTCGAGGGTAATGGGCCGGGGGTGGGGGTAATTTGTGGGGTTTTGGCTGTTGGCGGTGGTAGTTACCTCCATCACGGGGGTTGACTGGTCGTGACAGGGGACTTTGCCGTCCTTCGGGTTCGGAATGTATGAGCTGTGGGGTATGTATTTTGAGCGCTCCTCGAGGGGGTAGATCTTGCCCGCTGTGAGCGCGTTCTCCGGGAAGACGATGATGTCGACGTCCTGGAAGAATTTTTTTATTGTCATTTTTCCGCGAGTTTTTCAACTCGAGTGACATCGGATTTCTATTCATCTATGAAATTTTTATTAATTGTCAATTTAATTGAATGTAAATGTTAATTAAATGTATTTTTCAATTAATTGTATTATTCAGTCTGGTGGGATTTTCGTTGAGACTCTTTTGAATTCAATCGCCTCGACGCGTATTTTTTCATTACTGCAGTGAATTTTTTTTTCGTAATGTGCAAATACATTGTTGACTTGAGATAAATCTTTTATTGAAACTCATCTATGTAACAGTTTTGCAGACTTTCGTTGTGAAATCTTTTCATTTATTTATTCACTGGTTTTTCCTTTTGTTTTGATCAATCAAAATTAATTGAAATACAACAATTATGCCCTGATAATTATTTTTGATGATTCGTAATTATTTTGTAATCCTTATGACAACGAGTTAAGTTACTTCATGAAGACTAAAATAATTTTGATCTATTATTTTCGGTTTTGAATTTTTCATGGGTTTGTTTATACCTTTATTCGATATAACTAGAATATTTTTGTTTCATTATTAAGCGGCACAAGTGAGGAACTAGTTTCTTCTGGAAAATACTTCAATATCTCGTGAGCTATTAGATCGGGACAATAGGCGACGAATTGTGACGTTAACAAACTACGAAAATGCGCTTTTACTTTCTCACATTATTTTCAAAATTTAAAAGTATCATAATCTCATTGAAATAATCCCATTCGACGTTTGGAATAGTTTCTTTGAACAGTCGTAATTCATTTGAGTCGACAAAAGCAAAATGAGAAATAGTTTTATCCACTAATTGACGATCACTCGAGTGAACAATTGTTTTATAAACTTTGAAACAATTATTTTTAGCCCCTGGGGACTGAAAAAATCTATAACGACGCATTAATTACCGACTTTACTCCACTTTTGCCACCTATAATGCGTAATAATGGAGACTGACGCGTTCTTTAAGACAATACGTTCAATGAAAAAATCGAAAGCTATTGATTTATTCTCTAAAAATTTTTCTGATACAAAAATAAAATGTTCAAAGACTTCAGTCATATTTTATATCTCATTTCTTCCGAATGATCCCGATTAAAAATAAATAAATCTTTTAAAAGAAGAGGTTTTGTGATTCAGTAACTTTTTCGCTCGAGATAATTAATTGCGGGGGTAATCACACTATTAATAAAATATGAATAAAAAGCTTGTGGGCGGATTATTTTCTATAAATGTCAAGACCTTTTTAAAATCCCCTGGAATTCCCTTCATTAAATAAACCCATTCCAAAAAAATTGCAAAACACGCGAAAAATTCAACATATGACCGCACAAATCTCCGAATAAATAATCACAATAACCGTAAAAGCATAATTAATCGCTTGTTGTTGAGGCCTTGGAGATTTTTAAGGAATCTTATCACATAAAAATAAACACCCTCCACACCCTCATATAAACAAACAACAGTGCACTTACATTTTCACTCGCCGTTTTCAAAAACTTCATGTAATTTTTGACATTCTCATTAGCGATAGCCGTTAAATTGTCACCAGAAGTCACCGGATGGTACTCGACCGTTGCACCCACGTAGTAAGCGGTCGTTGGCGCGGATGCCTGAGGGAATAAAGTGGTAACTGTTGAAACGACAACAAAAGCCAAAATTTCTCTTTCTACCCCTCACCCTGGAGGTACGTCAGTGGCCCACTGAAAATTCCAACTATCGATTTTTCAAATGCAGTCACCCGGTACGAAACCTCGGCGAGGCATACCCAGATTCCCCATGTCCCCCGATTGATCAATAATTAAACTATTTGAGGACGAGGGGCAGGTGATCGTGCACTGGAGCTCCAAAAAAGCCTGAAAATTCAAAATTACCTGGAGGGTGAGTCTCGCCGAGGAGAGAACGCCGAGGAGGCACAAGTGGGATAATCCGATGATCATTTTCCCAGCAATGATCACTGAAAAACCGATGAAACTCCCCCAGCGAAGGACCAAAACCGAATTTCGATTTTTCCCTTTAGAACTAAAAAAAATTCAGTGAATAAATTTCAATAAAAAATTGTCTTGAGCAAAAGACCCCGAAAACTCCTCTTGCTGGCGAGCCGATTGGGGCGAGTTTTGTCGGCTGATCGAATGTAAAAACGAAAAATTTATGTCTCGAGAATGTCTGACCGTCGTATGGATCAGTCTACACTCTGATCGGTATAATTCCGCGTTTCCCTAACGAGTGTGCGCGCGTTTATCGTCGACGCCGGGAGGGCTCTCTCTCTCACGGTGATACCGAGATGAAGGGGGTTCACACACTTTTTAACGTAACCGTGGAGACTGCCAGTGGAGCGAGTATTTTACCCTCACCCCGTTATCCAACTTTTATTTCTGTGTAGGTGAGGTGGTGGCCTCGAGTACTGCACCGAGCGCAACCCGATGCCAGATTGACGCGAGAATTTTCGCGCATGTGTCCACGGTACACGGGACAGCATCCCCAAGAAGACTAATAAAAAATTGGTGGGTATTTTTATTCACCTTTTGTCGTGTCGTTTGATTGGCTCTGGATTTTTCGCGCGTGGAAATTTCAGGGGAGGGGGTCGGGGCAAACCGTAGCCCATTCGCTGGAGAATTCTATCGAGCTTTTATCGAGGCATTTTGCCCATGTTTTTTTGTTTCATTTTTTAATTAAAAAAAGAAGACGAATAGAGTGAAAAAGGGGAAGAATAGAGCGAACAATTCACGTTGAGGAATTTCTACAGAAAATGTCTCAAAAAAGTTGCAGAAAAAATGGAATTATTCGGATTTTTTGCATAAAATATAAATAATTCAACCTGAGGAATTTTTTCAAATTTAGTAACAATGTCAACCTAAACTGTATAAACGTGAAAATTTATCGATTTATCCGGTCCAATTAAAAGGTCCTGCATTCGAAGAAGTTCTATATTTCGAGAGAGAAAAAAATCGAATTTACAATACAATTTCCTGCAAAATGCAAATAATTTTTATATTGAGAACCGATTTTGTTTAATAATTTGAGGAAACTCTTCTGTTTTCCGAGAACTATTTCATTATTTCGTTATCTGCGACGTAGATCATCACAATTTTTTAGCACCGCACTCACTTCTTGGCACTGCACTGGAGTCCTCCAACTATTCAATTACTCCAGGCGCTCTCGAAAAAGCACTCACCCCGAGGAGCGATGCGGATGACAAATCAAAAGATTCATTATCAAAATTTATCTGCGAAAGTGCAGAATGCACTTGGATAAATCCGACATTCAACTTGTGCGGCCTCGCAAGTCTAATCTCGTGATTGGCATATTGTTGCTTATCTGTTGCAGATACGAGGAGGCGTGTTTAATCGATAGCGGCAGGTGACGACCATTATGAAGCAAAGGGGATGAGACACTTTAAATTGATGGGGAAGTGCATGAATTATGAAGATAATGCATAAATTAGCATTATTATTTTTTCTAATTGACGATCCAACATTTTTTCTTATTTCTCTCCTTAAATTTGGTAATAAATTCGATTTAAAAACTATTATTCATCAATTTGATGACTCCGATAATGAAGATAGATGAATTATTAAAATTAATATGTTTATAATTGACAATAGATTATTTTCGTTTATTTTTAGAGTTGAATTTAAGCACAGATTTTATTGGAGAATAAAATCTCTCGCTTGGTGATTTGAATGATTTCTAAAAAATAACAAATGATGGGATTTTGGTAAAGTCATAATAAACAAATTTAGCATTACAAATACAAATTTAGCATTTTTTCTCACTTTTTGAAATTAAATTGCATTGGAAATTCAATTGCAAAGCGATTATTCTTGAATTTGATGACTTCGATAATGACGAAAGATGAATTATTACCATTATTATATTTATAACTGATAACAGATTATTTTCGTTTATTTCTAGAGGTGAATTTAACAATAGACTTTATTGGAAAAGAAAATCTGCCGCTTGATGATTTGCATGATCTCTAAAAATAACAAATGATGTATTATTTTGTAAAAATCATAATAAACGATTTTTTATATTTTTCTAATTAAAAATTGAAATTGAACTAAAAATTGATTTTTTCTCATTTCTTTCATTAAATTTGATAATAAATTCGATTGAAAATCAGTTATTCCTAAATTTGCTGACTTTGATAATAAAGATAAATAAATTATTATCATTAATATGTTTATAATTGACAACAGATTATTTTCCTTCATTTTTAAAGTTCAATTTAATAACGTATTTTTTTTTACTCATAACAAACGATTTCTTTTTTTCTAATCAAAAACTAGAAATCTCTTCTCACTCTTTCAATTAAAAAACAGTTGAAAAACAATTATTCTTCAATTTCAGGCCTCCGACAATGAAAATATAATTTATTATCATCAATATTTCCAATTAATATCAGATTATTCCCCTTCACTTCCAGAATTGACTTTTGAATTGACTAAAATTGCTAATTGAAGAATGACTATTTGATGACTCGATGATCCAAACTGGGATAATTACGCTGCACCCAATTACTTTGGGATCGACATTTCAGTCATCTGCGCATCATTTCCGCTCCGATCCATAAATAAACGGTAAACAAATCCCTTTCAACTGTAGACCGAAATGAAAGGTCATCGATATGAAGAATCAATGGCAATTGTTTTGACGACTTTTCGGTGGTTGAATTCCGCCGGCACGTGCACCATCGGGACCACCGATACCTAATCACAATGGTGAGCCAATAGGAACGACAGAAATGCCCGATGCACGCGTGTGTCACTTGCGCAATGCCGGGTTGGACTCGGTGAATCCCCCGAAATATTCTCCATCATTTGACCCGAGACATTCGACCCGATTGCCGGCTCAAACTCGTTCGCGTTGGTTGCGAATAAGTAACGATGATCTCTGACCCAATTAACAACAACAACTGGGCTAACTGGATTTTACTGGTATTCGGATTCTCGTGATGACGAGATCGATCGGCTTTTTTCGAGGAATCGAGCGACAATGACTTGTCAATATTCACTTTGTTGGAAATTACATAATTAAAATGTCGCAGTTCATTCTCATGTAAATAGCTTTTGAACAGAAAATTTTTGTAATTATTTTTTTATTCAGTTTTTAGATTATTGCTTTAATTATTTTGTTTATGCAGCTTATTCTTTAATTTATGCAGAGGGGTCTTGATAATTTCGTTCTGCATTTTTTCCGAGAATTTATGTAAAAGAAATCGCTTATTTTTTGTTCAGTAAACAGTTTCATTGAATAAAATGCCGATTTATTCAATGAAGTTCTATTTGTAATAGATATTTATAAATAGAAATTTATTAAATTGTTCGTAGAGTAGAATTTTTTTTAAATTTGAGTTTTCATTTCATGAAAATTCTAAACATGAAGCAAATGTTCTAAAAAAATTAGTATTTTATTTTATTTTACTTACTTTTTGAATACTTTTTTCTTCTAAAAAATAAGTATTTTTTAAAAAAGTAGTAAAATAATTAAATTAAGAAAAATAATTAAAGAATTGAATAATTTTTTTTGTGCTAAAAAAATTAGTATTTCATTTGTATTTTCTTCAAATGCTCATTTTTTAGAAATCCTTATTTTTATCTAATAAACACTTTCATCGCATGACATGTGGAATATTTCACCAAAATTCAACGAAAATCTGTTCAATTTTCCATCGCGGATGAAAAAGTTTAATGAAAAAACCTAGTGAAGTCGCTAGACAATTCCATTGGATTGTCGAATCTATCGAAATATTTTCTATAACTAGAATGAAAAAAACTCAGAAAATTTCAGCCGACGAAATTCTCTGTCTGAAGAGAATAAGTTACACAGAAAAATCTAATTCAATCTCCTATTTCCAAAGGAAATGCACTCTCTTTCAATTTCCAAGACTCCATTGAAATCAAAATAACTAAAGCATCGAGTTGATACCAAAATCTTTCCTCATTCAACGCCTCACAGAGCGATAACATAAAATTCCAATCACTCATTGGTCCATGAATCTCCTCAGATGCAACCGAAATAAAATCCCACGAGGGAGGAAAATATCGATGCGTGAGAGAGAGGTCCTGACCCTCTCTTGTGCTGTGATATGGACTAGCCTTATATAAACTACAGTTGCCACAACTTCTGGTTCAGTAAACTTTCAGTTGTTACGGAGAAACCGGTCGATAGACCTAAAACGTCAACGTACCCGTTTGTACTAGGCCACATCCTAGACTCAACAAGGTGCATCGCAGTAAATCTCAGATGCTAGCTCCACGTTTCATATTCCACCAAAAACGTTACTTTGCCCTCTCAGCAGTGAGTCATAAAATCGATAAAATACCCTCATTTCCCCTTGAATCAGTGACTAACTCGTGCGAATAATTGCATTTCCGTAAACAAAACACAATTGACAATTGACTTGAACTCGTCAACAACTTGGAAATTGAAAAATCATTTTTCAAAATTTATTCATCGAAAAAATTTCGCTGCGAACTAATTTTTTGTGCAACAGAAATTAACGCATTCCTCATTTTTTATTAGTTTAGTGTGACGAGTTCAATCTCAATCAGTTAATCAGCAGCAATCAATTAATTCCGATGTATTGGTTCGTCTATTTGCAGCACTAGGACAGCACAAAGTAGTTATCCCGCACATTAATTAATTAGTTGGGTATGTAGTGAGTTTTCCCTGATTTGATCTGCATGCTCTCGTTGGTTTCACCTCAATTCGTAGTTGAGGGAGTGACAGAACAGCTGTTGCACTTCAATTTGGTTTTTGAAAATTGGGGAGCGCGTGCGGAAAAATTTAACGGAAAAACCTGGTGCTTTCTCTGGGAAATTTCACTGGAGTTCTGGGAGAATCCCAGACATCGGCATAATCATAACTTTTATTTTTTTTGTTTTATTGTAAATCATCATTTTTAATTAATGTTGAAATTTGAAGAAGACAATTGTTAATATTACTCACCAATTTTTTGATTATTGAGTTAACCATCAATTTAAATATTCAATTTTCGAATTATTTTGTCAACCGATGGTCGACAAATTTATTATATTATTCTCAAATTTCAATGAAGACAAGTAAATCTTAATTATTGTAATGCGCAACTTCTCATAAAATTACTAAATTAATGACTGATGTCAATCTACGGAGAATTCACCTGAAAGATTACATTTCTTTTGCGCCAGTTCCATTGAAAATTATGCGACGTCTCCCCGCGTTTTCAAATAGATTTTTGTTTAGACGTTGATTTTTCCAAGTTTTTTTCTTGGATTTTATCAGTTTGAAAAATGATAAAAAAACAGAAAGAAATTTCTGTGCATGATGGTTCAGCGGTCTCATTGATTGACTTTACCGGTGTTTATTTGTCACGAAGGCGGCAATGGCCCAGCTTAAAGTCGCTATTATCGGCCAGAGTACGTTCGCTGCGGAAGTTTATAAACTCCTCAAGCAAGATGGTCATCACATTACGGGAGTTTTCACGGTCCCTGATAAGTCCAATCGGGAGGATCCCTTAGGTATGTTTTATTTTATCAACAAAAAGTGAAATAAAAGTGAAATCGAGTGCGAATTTTTTTTATCGAAGTTCGATTTGTTTTTCGCTGATTTCTACGAATGAAAAATGCGCAGAAATGCTGAATCAGGAATGTTGCGTAAAAAAAATATTTTATAAAATGAATCGATACATTTTAATGTCAAACGCATTATTCTGATGAAACTTTCCGATTTTTTTCACCAGAATTTTCTGATGAAAGAGAAAAAACTGAAAATAAAAAGCAGAATTATTTTTTTTATTGAAAAATGTAATGTAACTGTGTGATATTGTGGGAATTTTGACTCAGCTGCGACAGCTAAAGCTGACAACACCCCAGTCTTCAAGATCAAGGCCTGGCGCAGCAAGGGCGTGCCTCTCCCCGAGATTCTCGACCTCTACAAGAGCATCGACGTCGACCTGAACGTCTTGCCGTTCTGCACGCAGTTCATCCCGATGGAAGTTATCGATCACCCAAAACACAGGAGCATCTGTTATCACCCATCGATACTACCCAGGCACCGGGGTGCCAGTTCTATCAGTTGGTAGGTTCGCTTTATCTCGAAAGAGAAAGGCCGCTCTATTCACTCGGTGCGGGAACGTGAAATCTAATTGCGCATTTCCGCATCGATAGAACCAGTTTCAACTGATGCAGACATTTATCCGTTTTATTATCTATTTTTATTTGAATTTTGTGTATCAAATATTTCGTTACAAAAATCAGATTGATTTTTCTTGTAAATTAATCGATTTTTCTGTATGAATTACTCTTTTTTTGTTTTTTATTACAAAATTTAAAAAGCATTTACTTCATTTTATTTATTTTATTCATTTAACATGAATGAATTCTATAGAAAATTCTGTTAGTTTCGTCTATTGAACAATTACGCAGCTTCACTGACCTTTTTTGCCATAATTTTATCTTTTTATACAATTTTTTCTATTGAGGTATTTTCTATAGGAATTCTTCGGCATGAATTTTCCATTATTTTTTCACCCCTTTGTTTAAATTATTAAAAACAATAACAAAAAACACTTTGAAAATTTAAACTGATCAATTTCTACAGAAAATATCCCAATAGAATAAGTAGTACAGAAAAATCTAATTCTATTAACGAATCGGCCAAAAACTAATGGACAGTTTAACAGAAATCCAATAGAACTTTCAAACGAACTCGCTAGGTTTTTCTATGAAATTTTTTCGTGCAACAATATAATAATTATTAAATTATATTTTGTTATAATACAATAACAAAAAATGATGATTTTACATTAATAATCATTATACACATTCACAGTACATCATTATTAATCATAATTTAATCATTTTATTTTATTTTTAATCATTATCTTACATTTTAATCACTATTTATTTATTTTTTCAATTTTTTTATAATACAATGACAAAAAAAGATGATTTTACATTAATAATCATTACACACATTCACATTACATCATTATTAATCATAATTTAATCATAATAATCATTATTTAATCATTTTATTTTATTTTTAATCATTATCTTACATTTTAATCACTATTTATTTATTTTTTCAATTTTTTTATAATACAATAACAAAAAATGATGGTTTTACATTAATAATCATTACACACATTCACATTACATCATTATTAATCATAATTTAATCATAATAATCATTATTTAATCATTTTATTTTATTTTTAATCATTATCTTACATTTTAATCACTATTTATTTATTTTTTCAATTTTTTTATAATACAATAACAAAAAATGATGGTTTTACATTAATAATCATTACACACATTCACATTACATCATTATTAATCATAATTTAATCATAATAATCATTATTTAATCATTTTATTTTATTTTTAATCATTATCTTACGTTTTAATCATTATTTCTATTTTTTTTTCATTTTTTGTTATTGTATTATAACAAAAAATGAATGCATAACATGATTTTCCACATAATTCATAAAATGATTGCAGGACATTGATCGAAGGAGACAAGGAGGCAGGTCTCTCGATTTTCTGGGCGGACGATGGTCTCGACACGGGTCCAATCCTCCTCCAGAGGAGGTGCCCGGTGGAGCCCAACGACACCCTGGACACTCTCTACAACAACTTCCTCTACCCCGAGGGAATAAAATCGATGGCGGAGGCTGTGAACCTCGTGGCGGCGGGAAGGGCCCCCAAGACGCCTCAACCCGAGGAAGGCGCGACGTACGAGCCCCTCCTCAACAAGAAGGAGCTGCAGAGGGTCGACCTGACGAAGTCGGCGGCGCAGATCCACAATTTCATCAGGGGATTGGACAGCTCCCCGGGAGCGTGGACTCTCCTCAACGGAGAGGAGGTGAAGGTCTACGGGTCGACGCTCTGGGGGTCTGCGAAGCCCGAGGGCGAGGCCGTCGAGGTTGACGGGCACCTGGGGGTCGTCCACGAGGGGGGACTGCTCATCGCGGCGGGGGCTGGGGGCTTCGTCAACGTCGAGAAGCTCAAGGTGGGGAGCAGGACCTTCCGCGCTGCCAATTTCGGGAGGGATGACGAAGGATTCGCCAGGGTGGAGTTCACTGAGGACGAGAGGGAGGCTGTGGAGGTCATCAAGGACATCTGGAGGAGCATTCTTAATGTCGAGGTGGAGGAGGACACGGACTTCTTCGCTTGTGGTGAGCTCAGACTTTTTAACGCATTCAACGTTTTTTTTATTTTATTGGTACATTCAACATTTCAGTAGCGAAGTGGGAAAACGGTATAAGTCAATTTTTTTTTTTTTTATTAACGCCTCCGGATCCAGGGATGGGTCCATTCGGCTTTAAAAAAATAATTTAATACATCATTTAGTACAGCGAGTCTTGTTTTTGCATATTTTATACTTTGGAAATACTTTTGATATCTTTGTAATTCATGACATTGAGAATTTTTTCTATTTTGTATGGTGTTTCGTTGGTTCTTCTTATCTGTTTGATGAGGGCCTCTCGTTCTTTTGCGTACGTTGGACATCTCCACAGGACATGGTTCAAGTCTTCCACTGTGTTTCCACAGTGGCAGGCCGTCGATTCTACGACCTTGATTTTTTTTTAGAGAATATGCCAGGCTGTAATGATCGGACCTGGCCCTATTGACCCAAACTATTTCTTCTCTCGTCAGTTTGGTAAATTTGTGAAACCAAGGCGGTATAAGTCAATTTTGACTATTGACCGGTTTTTAATAAATATCTCGGAACCTAGGGAGGTGGCAAAATTTTTGTTGTAACCTTTTTTGCAGAGCCGATTGAGAGCTACAACTAATGTTATTACGAAAATTTCGCTATCTTCGGTAGATTCGGAAATATTCCTCAAAAACTCAATTGGGAGATAAATCGACTTAAACCGGTTTAACACTTCGCTACTGATTTTATAGAAAGAGAATTACAAAAGAAGAAAATTAATTGGAGGATTATTCAGGAGTTGAAGAATTATTTCTGTTAATTTTTGGATAATTCCGAAAAATCATCAAAAATCATTTTTCTGTTGAAAAATTTCCCGGCGCATCTGTGAAATTTTTTCAGCAGACATGTTCAATGGAAAACAATGTATTTTTCTTTACGATTTATTCTTTTTAATAAAAATCCATGGCATCAAATTCTCCAAGTTTTTTGGGTTGACTTTTTTTAATGAAAAAAGAAGAATAGAGTGAGAACGATTTGATAATTCGTGCTGAGGAATTCCGATAGAAAATGTCTCGATAAAAAAAGTTATACAGAAGAAAATCTGAAATTCTGATATTTTTTCTATAAGTTTCTGTTGACTATTTATTTTCAAAGAAAAATGCGCAGAAAATATTTGAAGCTTTAGGGCTGCGGGTTTGTGCAGTAAAATAGAATAATAGTATATAATATAATAGTAATAAAAACATAATACAACAAAATAATAAACGAAATATAAGATGATAAAATAGTAATAAAATTTCCCAGAAAAACCCGTAAGTTTTTACATTGAATTATTGGAAAAAAAAAAGTGAAATCAGAAAAAAATGCCAAAAATTGACATCACGTCCACAAAATCGGAAACATTTCTCGATTGAATTACTCCATTCGACAGGAGCGGGTTCCATGGACGTCGTAAGACTAGTAGAAGAGGTAAAAGACCGCCTGAACATCGCGATTCAAAACACAGACGTCTTCATGGCCCCAGTATTCCTGCAGTTCGCCTCGGCGACGATTCTGACGGGACGAGGAGCGGCAGCGGCCGCTGAAATAAAATACGACGCTGTGGAGGTCAGGGCCAACAACCTGGACATCAAGTTCCCCAGGCAATTGTTCATCGATGGTAAATTCGTCAACGGTCGGGGCAAACCAATCCCGTCCATCGATCCACACGACGAACACGTCATTTGCGAGGTGGAGTGTGGATCCCCCGAGGACGTCGATCTCGCTGTCCAGGCGGCGAAGAGGGCGCATGAGGAGGGCGAGTGGAGCAAAATCAGTGCGAGGGAACGAGGCGCTTTATTATTCAGGTGAGTTGGTTGATAATTGAAAAAAAACGCGAAAAATTGAGCTTTCAGTCTGAATTATGCAAATCGGGGGGGGGAAAATGCGAGAGAATATTTGGAAATTTTTGGAAAATTTTCAGGATTTTTTGGGGAGTAATAGAGCTTTGGAGAATGAAAATGAAAAAATTTCGGATTCTTTCAGAAATTCTGGAAAATTGTGGTTTTTTAGGAAATGCAGTGAAAGTCACGAGTCTCCGGAAAAATTTGGAAAGATAGTTTATTTAAAAAAACGCGAAAAATTAATCTTTCGGATTGAATTTTGCAAATTATGTGTAAATACAGCAACGGAATATTTGGAAATTTTCGGAAAATTCTAGGATTTTTTGGGAAGTAATAGCGTGTTGGAGGAGAGGAAAAAAATTTCAGACTCTTTCGTAAATTCTAAACAATTCTGGATTTTTTCGGAAATGCAATAAAATTTACGAGTTTTCAAGGAAAGTTCGGGAGAATTTTAGATGAAATTGAATAAAATTGCGAATCGAAAAGGTTCTGAAAGCCTTTCATGAAAAAACAACAAAAAATAATAGCGTGGGAATAAAATCGAAGAATGACGGATTTTTCCAAGAATTCGGAAAAATTCTGAATTTTTTGGGAAGTGAACGAAAATTTACGGTTTTCACGGAAAATTTAAGAGAATTCTCTGGGCTTTTCTAGATAATTCTGGGAAATGCCCTCAAATTTCTAAAGGTTTCTACCATTTTTCCCGAGAAAAACAATCGCTATAATGTTAAAAAAATTTAAGAACATTTTTTAAAAATTCTATAAAATTATTATTTATTTAATGGAAGAAAATTCGCGAAAATTCTCCCTAATTTTGCTTGAAAAATGCTCAATTTTTTTTTAAATTCAAGACAACTGTCTCGGTTTTCCCCCAAAACTCCCGAAAAAAATCGAAAAAACGTCAATTCTCGTAAAAACGTAAAAAAAATAATTCCGGGTTAAAAAAAAAATTGACCCTGCAGGCTGGCAGACCTGATGGAGCAGCACAAATCCGAGCTAGCGACAATCGAGAGTATCGACTCAGGCGCGGTGTACACCCTGGCGTTGAAGACCCACGTGGGTATGTCGATCGAGACCTGGAGATACTTCGCAGGTTGGTGCGACAAGATCCAGGGCTCGACGATTCCCATAAGCCACGCCCGCCCCAACCGCAACCTGACCTTCACCCGAAAAGAGCCCATCGGGGTAGTGGGTCTGGTGACCCCCTGGAACTACCCCCTGATGATGCTCTCCTGGAAGATGGCGGCGTGCCTGGCAGCGGGGAACACAGTTGTGATGAAGCCTGCGCAGGCCTCACCCCTCACAGCTCTAAAATTCGCTGAGCTGTCGGTTAAGGCGGGGATTCCCCCTGGAGTTATCAACATCGTTCCAGGTAGATAACCCAAGGAAAACCCCGAATACATGACTTTAACTTGACTCTTGCATGAGTAGTCAGCACCAGACGCCGGCAGAAACATTGAGTTTAAATGAAGTTAAATTTTAAAAAAGTCAATAGTTAATAGTATTAACTATTAACTATTACTATCAACTACCAACTTGAATACTATTAACTATTTACTATTGTGTTAATAGTATTCATAAATTTTAAATTATGAAATTAATTGTTAATTGAAAATTTAAATTATCAATAATTTTTTAATTTAAAAAAATAATAGATAATTATTAAATTAAATTTTGAACAACTCAATAGTTAATAGTATTCATAAATTTTAAATTATCAAATTAATCGTCAATTTAAATAGTCAAATTGCGAATTATTTGATCAATCAATAATTGAGTTCGGAGGATTGACCAATATATTACAAATATTGGCCCAATTGTCAATTCACAATCCCATATTTTCAATTATTCAATTCATAGTCAATTGGAAACTTTAATTATCAAGCATTTTTCAATTAAAAAAAATTAAAGACTCATTAATAACTACAATTTTTATTGTAAAATTGAAAATAAAAATTTTATTTTCATTTAAAACTGAAAAATAATTGATAATTAAAATTTTTAATTTTTAAATTTCAACCCGAGTATTACTAAAACTAACAATTTATCCCGATTCGTGGTCACATTTTTTATTCCATCATTCATAATTCCACGAATTCTCTTCAACTTGATTCTTGCATTTTCTTTCACCTACATTTATTCCTCTATTATTCATTAGTTCACCAAATTCCGGCAAATGAAATTTTATCCTTTTGCTTCATTATTACCAAGATTCCTCTTCCTTTCCAAATTCACTCACAAATGCCTCAACAATATCTAAATGCCATTATTCCCCCAAAGGCGACGGACGAGTCACAGGGGCTTCAATCGTGAAGCACCCGCAGATCCGCAAGCTCGGCTTCACGGGTTCCACCGAGATAGGCCAAGCGATAATGCGAGACTGTGCGCTGAACCTGAAAAAAGTGTCCCTAGAGCTCGGGGGCAAGTCTCCCCTCGTCATCTTCGACGACTGCGACCTCCAGCAGGCGGTGAGAGTCGCCATGAGCGGTGTCTTCTTCAACAAAGGCGAGAACTGCATCGCCGCGGGGCGGATCTTCGTCGAGGAGTCCATCCACGACGACTTCGTCAGGCGAACGGTGGAGGAAGTGAAGAAAATCAAAATCGGAAATCCCCTCGACAGGGCGACGTCGCAGGGCCCTCAGAACCATAAACAGCATCTCGATAAGCTCCTGGAGTACGTCGAGAGGGGGGTGAGGGAGGGGGCGACCCTGGTCTACGGGGGGAAGAGGGTCAACCGACCCGGGTGGTACTTCGAGCCCACGATCTTCACCGACGTTAAGGACGACATGTTCATCGCTATCGAAGAGTCCTTCGGACCCATCATGATTATCTCGAAATTCAGCGCGAGGAATGTCGCTGATTTAATCAAGAGGGCCAATGACACTGAGTTCGGACTCGCCTCGGGGGTCCTCACGAGGGACATCAGCAAGGCTTTGAGGTTCGCTGAGGAAATTGAGGCTGGAACCGTTTTTATTAACACTTATAACAAGACCGATGTCGCCGCACCCTTCGGGGGGTTCAAGAGGTCTGGTTTCGGAAAGGATTTGGGGCAGGAGGCGCTCAATGAGTACTTGAAGACTAAAACTATTACGATTGAGTACTGATTACTTCAATATGAGAAAAAAAGAAAAAAAACGGATAAAAAATTATCAAACTGCGATTTTTTAAATCACATTGTTTTATTGAACTATTTTTTTCTCTATTGAACTGGTATTTTTTTAGAAAATTCCAGCAAAAGAAATGAGAACATTCAAATTGAGGAATTTCCTTGGAATGATTTTTTGATAGAATTTTTTTGAACGTGATTTTGAAATGAACGTGGAATTGATTTTTTTTTTCAGTTTTAGAGAAGAAAACGAAAAAACTGGAGATATCATCAATAGGTATTGTTCCATCCATTAATTTTAAGGCATTCCATGTTTAACTTAAGGCACATCGTATCATCTTATTTTTAATAAAAGATATTTATGAAGGCAGTTTTTATTAATTCTTGTAATAAGACCGATGTCGCCGCACCCTTCGGGGGGTTCAAGAGGTCTGGGTTCGGAAAGGATTTGGGGCAGGAGGCGCTCAATGAGTACTTGAAGACTAAGACTATTAACGATTGAGTACTGATCTTCAATATGAGAAAAAAAAGAGAAAAACCATCAGATAAAAAAATTATCAAATCGCGATTGTTTAAATCACATTATTTTAGTGAACTATTTTTTCTCGTCTCGTTAGAAAATTCCAGCAAAGGAATGAGAAACTTTAAATTGAGGAATTGCCTCGCAGTTAATTTCGATAGAATTTTTTTGAACGTGATTTTGAAGTGAACGTGGAATTGATTTTTTTTTCAATTTTGGAGAGAAAAACGAAAAAACTGGAGATGTCATCACCTATTGTTCCATCCATTAATCTTAAGGCATTCCATGTTTAACTTAAGGCACATCGTATCATCTTATTTTTAATAAAAGATATTTATGAAGATACTGGAGAATTCGTGTGTGTTCTTCAACTCCCACGCCTCTGAAATTCTAATGTTTGAATTTTTTACGAGTTTCGAGACGTCATGCACATTCCCATATGGCCCCGACGCGGGTTTTTTATCCCCCGGGGATACACCAAATGTCCGTTATGGTTTACACGACGTTTGGGAGATTGTGGAGATGAGGAACTGCTGCAAACCTTTTCTTACGGTTTTAGCATGTAGAATCCTCCTTTTTCATGGCGAAAAAAATGAAAACTGGAAGCTTAAATTTCCCCAGCGGTTTCCCTCGCCCTTAGAAAATTTAAAAATGCAATCATGTTTTACTATTATTAAAAACGATAAAATAAAAGAATACAATTATTTTCTTCTCCACAACTCCAGAATTAATTACTGGTCGACTGTCCACGGAAATTTAATTTTTTTCCAAAAGTCCAGTGGATTCTACAACGATAGAGCGTCTGGCGATATCCGTCAGCATCTCTCCACTTCCTCGACCATCGCGTGACTTATCGCGTGTCACGGAAAAAATTCGATAGCTTCTCAACGAAAATTCCTTTGCGCCCGTATTTTTCGCCTCCTTGTAACAATACGTGGGGGTAAATCGGGATCACGGTGGGTTGTCACGTACAGGGGAGGGAGCGCTGTGCCCACAAAGGGGCCCATTCGGGCAAGGGTAGACCGAGAGACTCATGCTGTTACGGTCCCAACTGGGCATGACGGTTGAGAGGTGGAAAGTTTGAATTTTATCCGCAAGACCTTTCATTTTATTTGCAAACTCAATTTTTTTGTTCATAATTTTTAACGAAAATCCGGTCTTCCGTGGGGGAGGTGTGATTAAATTATCATTATTTATTCACCCACTTTTTTTTTAATTTCACACACCTTTTGTAGACATTTTTCAGACTAAAAAACGTATGGGTAAAATGAAAATGTGTCTGAATTTCAGACGAACAGGTCCCCAAACATCTTCATTCATTTTATTCAGACTTTTTTTTGAAAATAATAATAACAATTTTTTATTGTTTGAAATAAAAATAATTATTTTCAGTAAAATATAATAATAGTTATTTTTCCAGACGTTCAGACGTTTTTAATGTCTGAAAAATGTCCAATTTCAAAAACGTCTGATTTTCAAAGTGCAATCAATTATTCTAAAATATAAAATAAAAAAATGTAAAATTGTTATAAATTATTGAGAAATGGGAATAATTGAACACTTGACCACGGCTTTTATTCATAATAAAGTCACATTTATAGTAAATAAATAAATAAACCAATAGATCGGTAAACAAATGAAAACTTGTCAATCCTCAATTTACTTTTTTATCAACTAGTCATCAATTCCAAAAATTGCTGTAAAAACCCAAAAATATTTCCGAAATTGTCTTCCCCGAGACCCTCAAGGGATCGAAGGGGAATAATTTTTTTAATTAATTTTTTTAGTGAATTAAAAAGTCTAGAGACTCCGGAGAATAAAAGAAATACTTGCATAATGGGGAGTTTTATGCCCGAAGGAGGGACGAGAGGTTGACGGTTCCTCCTTAATTCGACAAGCAACATGCACACATGTCAACAATGAAGAAAAAAATCCAGAGCCTTTGCTTGTGGACGAAGAACCCGTGTGTGCCCCAGGCCTACTTAGCATATTCATCATGAACAGGAAATGCAAATTTCTCTGGGCTGCCTCAAACGCAACTGCCCCCGTGTCTCGACGCTTCGGGACACTGCCCTCTGACCCTTTCACTGGTTTTTATTTTCTCTTTTTCAATATCGGGGGAAGGATAGGCCCAAAGTAAATATTTTGAAGTTCCTCAGTTGAGAATAATTTAAATAAATGGAGAAACACGGAGAGAGGGAACGGAACTCAACTGTTTGTTTCATTATTGCATTAAAAAATAGATGGATTTTTCACCACAATTTTTTAATTGATGCCATCATTCTCTTGAGATTTTTTTTATACAGTAAATTCCTAGAGAATAAATTTCATAGAAAAATCCACATTTATTTTCATAGAAAAACGCTACTAATTTTTCGTGATAAAACGTTAGAAAGAGTTGGAAAAATCATTTCCAAGAATTCTTCTAAAAAAGTCAAAACAGAATAAATTATACAGAAGAATCCATATTTACAGACATTTTTTTGTTTCAAACAAATATTTATTTAAAAACGCGGAGGGGGGGGGGGGGGAAAATTTTTAATAAAATTGACACAAAAACCAATAAATCATTCCAATAGAATTCTTACAGTTCCAATATAAATTCAATCGAATCTCTTACAAAACGCTAGATTTCTCAATTAAACTTAATTTTTTATTCGTCTGTAAAATTAAATAAATAACGAATAAAACTGAACAAAAACCTGAAATTTGTCACGCCCCCCAATCGTCGCAGAACAATTAATAACAAAAAATCGAGGCACTTTCTCCCCCAAAATGTCACCCCAAACCCCCAGATGATGCCAACTTTCCCATTAAACTTCCCAGAAGCCTCGAGGTCACCCAGGGATGCTCCGAGAGGGAAAAGCCTCCGTCACACGTGTGAAACCAGAAAGAAAATAGAGGGGCGGAAGGAAGGCCCTCCGGGGTACAGCACCACGTGTTAGCGTTCTCCCCCTCTTCCCCCCTTCCGTCGTCAGCCAACCCCTCGTGAGTCCCCATCCCACCGTTGTCCCCAGAATAATTTTCAGTTTCGTCCCAGACACCAAACACGCATCTACGTCATGTGTCATCCACATAATTTCGCGCCAATTTTTTTATCAATTCCATTCACTCATACCCCTCCCCCCCCCCCCCCC